CCTGTGTTACTCACTACCTGTTCAGACACACAGTTCTGAAGTCTCACAGACTGTGGTCTGCCTATCAGGTAGTCAGTGATCCATGAAGTCATGGAAGCATCGACTTGCATCTCCTCCAGCTTCCTCCTTAGAAGTAAGGGCTGGATGGTATTGAAGGCACTGGAGAAGTCGAAAAACATGATCCTTACAGTGTTGCCAGCCCTGTCCAGGTGTGAGTAGGCCCTTTGCAGCATGTAGATGATTGCATCCTCCACACCAACATTGGGCTGGTAGGCGAACTGTGGGGTGTCCAGTGATGAGCTAACCAGGGGTCTCAGGTGGGATAAGACCAGCCTCTCCAGTGTCTTCATGACGTGAGAAGTCAGTGCAACTGGTCTTTAGTCGTTGAGGACAGAGGGGCTCCCTTTCTTTGGTACCGGGACCAGGCATGATGTCTTCCAGAGCACAGGGACTCTCTCCAAGCGCAGGCTCAGGTTGAACAGTTGCTGGAGCACTCCGCTCAGCTGATCAGCATAGGCCCTCAGAACTCTGGGACAGACGTTGTCTGGTCCTGTGGCCTTACCCTGGTGCAGCCTCTTCAGCTCCTTCTTCACCTGGTCAGCCGTGATGGTCAGCCTGGCCTGGGGGATGGTGCTCATAGCGCTGTCAGTGCTGCAGGTGTCAATAGTGGAGGTGTTGGAGAATGGCAGCTGTTGGGGATGGGGGGGTGAGTAGCTGTTGGGGGTCGTAGCTGTAAGCGGCCGTGATTGTTGAGCCACAGAGGGCCCTGAATCAAACCTGTTAAAAAAACTGGTTTAACTCGTTGGCCATATCCAGGTTCCCCTCCGTTGCACTCCCAGCCTGTTTAAAGCCAGTGCTCTCTCATGCTGCTCCATACATCTCTCACCCTATTCCTTTGCAGCTTGTCCTCTACCTTCCTCCTGTAGGCGTCCTTGCTCTCTCTTAACTTCTGCTTTAGTTCCCTCTGTACACGCTTGACCTCTTCCTTATCCCCCCTCCTAAAGGCTCTCTTCTTGTCATTCAGAAGAGCCTTCACGTCGCTGGTGATCCAGGGTTTGTTATTGGAAAAGCAGTGTACGTCTTTGGTGAGGATGGTGTTGTCTATGCAGAAGTTAATGTAGTCAGTGACACAGTCCACCATGCTGTCTATGTCGTCCCCATGTGGTTCGCACAGTACATCCCACTCGGTGGGATAAATGTGCAGGCTGTTTTTCATATTGTCCCTTACCCTGGAGAGACTACAACCAGCAATCCTGAACAAAACTGCACGGAGACCAAATTTCTCTGCTGGAACGATCTACGGTAGCCTCCAAAGCACCACATAGATTCTCCATAGCCTCCTGAGACCATCTCCTCATCCTGAGACCATCTCCTATACTGGTTCCAGGTGGAGCACTGTGCCATTAGGGATGAGGTACAGCCTGTAGATGTGACTCTGGAGCCAGAGTGGCTCTAAAGCTGCTGGCACCTCCAGAATTGATGGCTGATTCTGTAATAATTGCTGGAGGTAGGTTATCTGCTCACAGTGGAGCTCACACACAGTCCTCTACAGTGACTTAGCCAGGGAGTTGACCTGACTCTCTGCTTATTGGCTCTTTTTCCCATCTTGCACACTGATGTCATCAGCAGCTGGGAACTTCCTTTTCTGCCATGGTGAAGCTCCCATTCAGCTGGATCAACTGTTGCGGCTCATCTCTGGTCAAGACAATGTGGGAACACAACTAGTTTGCTCTTCATTAAGCACTTCTCCAGCTAGGACACAGGGACACCCACTAGTTAAATATCTTTGTGTCGTTCAGCTTGTTCTGCAGAGGTGCTGCTACTAAATCCTCCTGATTTCCCTTTCTCTGCTGCAGAAACCATGAACAGGCTGCTGGCTCTCTGTTAATAGGATTGTCTAGGCTTAACCAGATCTTAATTTTTTTTACTGGGCTCGTGCTTTTGAAATTGACAAGCTTGGGAAATTTGAAAAAAAAATGCTTTTGGAAACCAAAAGGCACACATTGATAATCTGTAAGGTTAATGAATATAAGGATACAGTTTTTAACAAAAAATATTGCAACAAATGTTTCAAGTGGGAGTAGAATAAATGTGCAGGCTGTTTTTCATATTGTCCCTTACCCTGGAGAGACTACAACCAGCAATCCTGAACAAAACTGCACGGAGACCAAATTTCTCGGCTGGAACGTTCCTCAGACATTCCACAGCCAGCCAATGTCACCAATATTGTCTTTAAAAGGCAGACAGCCAGATAACATACAGTATATGGAAGGTGAGACAAAGAGTGGGTCAGAAAAAAACTTATTTCAACCCATCTAGTACAAAAGGGACACAGTGAAATTTAGGAAAAAGAGCTGTTTTTTTATATTTGTGGAAATATTTGATTATCACTGTTGTTTATGTGGATGCATTTTTGTTCAAATGTTGCGTCCCTTGGAGGTTTAGTTATATTTTATGAAAGCAGTTTTACTTTCCCTTATAAAGAGTAATGTGCACTTCTGAGTGTATTAGAGTTTCCAATGAGGAAGACTGAATGTAATGTGTTGGGCTCTTGAACTTAACTTTTTTTTAATGCTGCTGCACTTTCTAAGTGCTGTGACTTATTTAAGGGAGTAAGTGGAAATGTCTTCTGCTCAGAGGGGGAGTAATACGAGTGTATGGAGATGTCTGGTTCTGCAGGCAAGGACAGGTAGGTAAAAATGGGCTCCTCTCTCCCTTCTTCAAACATCTGAAAAATGTGACCTTCAAAGGATTCAGTTGGTGCTTTACTCCAGTGCAAAAGGCATGGTGGCATCTGCCTATGAAGCAGGGGAAGTGTTTTGGCACTGCCATTGCCATGGGCCATCAGGCAGTAACCATGGCAATGAAGTTCAGAGGTGACACCTCAGTTTCTGTATGTCTTCCTTGGTATCCTAACCCCACACCAGTGTAGCAATTAAGTACTGTTGGTTCAATAGGGATTTTTTTTGTTCTTTAGAAACAGTAAGTTGCTGTTCCCACAAGAGTACAATATTGCAGAGTGTATCAATACCAGAAATAGGTATTCATTCTATGCACTCATAAACTCAAGCTCAAAGCAACAGAACACTTGCTGCCTGTCAAAGTCCTACCAAAGCAATTCCACTAATTGCATCTGCCTAATTTATGCATTCACCTCTTATCTGAGTTTTCTGTCTATTAACCAAGGGCTTGAATTATCCTGAATGCCAGAAGCCTGAAATTTAAGAAATAATTGTTCATGAGTACAGCGTCAAAGGCTTTCTGAATAGACAGTATAAATATAACACATCATAAGGTCTGCTTGTATCTATTGCTTCTGTTGTTGGGTTCGATGACCTCTGCAGGTTAGATGAGAAGCTCATCTCTATCTGACTGTTCTGTAGAATCCTATTACCATATAGTTCCTTTAGTCCTAGTTATTGTAAACATTTGTTTTGAAGAAGTTCAAGTAGGTGGCTGCGTCAGGATGCGCAGGCTGCAAAGGAACAGGTAAAGATTTACTGCATGCTGAATAGAAAAGAGACAATTCATTTTGGCTGTGGAGCCTTCTTTTCAGCATGGAATAAACCTTTACCTGTTTCTTTGCAACATTCGTTTGGGACCTGTTTATTTTTCAAATATACTTCAAATATACTTCAAAGAATAACATAATATGACTGAGTCCCTTAATGGTTTTCTCACTGTGTTTCTCACTTTATCTTGATTGTTTTAAATACTAAATCAATACAAGTACTCCCGCTACTACATACATCTGCAAATGTAGAGTAAGGAAGCAGCCATCAGCTATGTTATTAGAACAAGTTACAAACAATATGAGGCAATCCAGCCTGCTGTATGTAGAAGTTTTGGGATTTTTTGGGGGAGACGTTTGTTAATGCTCTGAAGATCTCATCTGGCTCTTTCTTTCAGGAAGGTATTTCCTTCAATTTCATACTGTAGCTTGATCCAAATGTACTTTCCTGTAGTTTCTTTATGTGTCCTCTGGAATATATTTCACTGCTGATTTTTAAAAATCATCCAAGGAGATAATAAAATTTTATGACAAGCATATCCTTAACCTTGAGAAACACCTTGAGAAACAATGGGAAAAACTTATGGAAATGGAGGTGTTGTACAGTAAAACAGTCTCCCCTCCATTTTATTAACACTTATATATGCACGCTTTTTGTGTTTCATTCATAATCGTGCAGCCTCTTCGGAAACAGTGATTTAGAAATGCTAGAGATAAAAATGAAGTGAATTTAGAGTACAGCCGAATATCAGCATATTTAATTGGAAGCTGCGCTGAGCCATCTTGTGGATTTGATGCTGTGCTGCAATAAAACACAACCAACTAATGAACACATGCAGTGTCTTCTGTTTTTTTTTGCATTGGAGCATATATAAAGAGAAACTAAAAAATACGTTAATATAATTGTTCGTTTGAATTTGCAGAGCACTGTAATATGAATGTATTAATCATAATATAGAGAATTTTACATTTGTAACACATTCACAATTGGAAAAATCCACACTGTTCATAACACTTCAATTCATGATTTAGAAACAATTCCTACCAATGTTTACAAATTCTTGATGAATTCTAACCGACTAACAATGGAATAACACGACTACCTTATGAATGTCCTTTGAGTTCTTTGCCGTCATCACTAGAAAGTGTTGATTTCACAATCCTTTTTTTTTAGTTGTTGAGTATGTTATTGTTAAACACAACTCATTAGGAATATAAGATGATTACAACAAATACTGTATAACTGAATTCCACTATGGTTTTTGGGAAAAATGTTTTTCATGAAATCTATTAGCGAAACAGTTTCAAACCTCCAGAAATTCATATTTTACTTTTGTTAAATACGTTTGTAAGTAAGATTTGTTTCTTTTTCACGGGTATGTCAAAAGTCTTTCACTGTAGGTATGCAAAGCAAATTAAAGGAGGAACCAAAGCTCTTAGTAGATAACACACTGTAGCTCTGATTGCATACAGTGCATAACTTTCTTGCCACATGGCACTTTGATCTGTAAAAGATTTCCAGAAGAATCTACACCGCAGTTTTAGGCAACAATGAGATTTACTAGCATAATAATGAAACCGCTTTTCAAAATAACAATAGATTATTTATTATTTCTAATCTCAATTTCAAAACAAATGTTTTCAGCAGCATTTAAGCAATCCGCACAGCGTGTTTCTTTTAGTGGCTAGTTTAATGTTACATATTTCACCTAAGGAAGCGGACAATTACATTTAAGCGCACAATTAATATCTACAATGAGGTTTTAACTGTTAACAGTATTTGGTACAACATATGTCTCAAAAAACGCAATTGTCCATTTTTTTTATCCCTGTTCTGTAACGGGTCTGTCCAAGCACAGCTGCGAAACGTGTTATGCTGCGAATCTTTTTAAGGCAACTTGAACAGCATTATCAAGTTGTCATTGGACAGTTTTGCTCCTCCCTTTGGAAAGTTGGTCAAGAATCTGTGGAGTGCTACAAAAAGGTTAGTCATAGACTGACTGTTTAAGTGTTGTGCTCTAAATATTGAAGAAAATGTTTAAGGCCTTTCCTGGAATTAAGTCCTCGTCCTGGAATGTGAAAAGGCACCCAGTAAGACTTGCTGAATCCTTGGTTACATTCCACCGACTCTGTGGTAAGTGCAGTATACAGTAATATTATCAGTGCAGATTCAATTAATACTGTACATGCAATAAAATAAAAAAAA